CCCCTTCTAGTTGCTTGCAACGGTTGATAGCTCCTGGAGGGAAGCCTTCTGCATAATATTCAAAGATTATTTGGGCAATCCTGTCTCCTGGCTTGATCGAAAATACAAAATCTGTTGTGTTAATCAGTATGACCTTGAGTTCTCCAGTGTAATCAGGGTCAATGACTCCTGCGCCCATGTCAATTCCTCTTGCAGCCAGTCTGCTGCATGGAGCTATTCATGTATAGGTATGTTTGGGAGGGTCAATGGCGACTCCTGTTCCTACTACAGCTCGTGAATGCAGAGGGATTTCGTGCATTTCTGCTGCATAAATATCCCATCCTGCTGCTTCGTTTGAGGATTTTTTCGGTGATTTGGTGAGGTCTGTCATTTGTGATATAGGAAGAACTCGTCTGGATGATCGGACATGTTGATTCTGTGTGTGGATATTGGTGAAACTTCGTATGAGAATAGTTCGAAGCGTTTTCCACTGAACGTAACAACCCTGATTGGTGCTTTGGCTGCATCTGGGTGTTGTTGGTGAAATTCTTGAAGAAGCTCATCGGCGTTGGTGGAATTTGTTTGGGGTTCCCATATATCATCGGAATGGTCATAGCCTTTTCATTTGACAAGGTATTGGACCCTTCCCCTCACGACCTTCGAGTCTAGTATTTCTTCAACTTCGAATTCTGGTTCTCCTTCGATTTCTATAGCTGGGGGCTTTGGGGGTTCATGGTGTGTGACCGTGTCTTGATGGTACATGATCAACTTGCTAGCATGGAAGACTGGGTGGACCTTCATTTGCTTAGGTAATTTCAGTTTGAACGTAACTGGGCCTAGCTTCTGAAGTACTTTGTAAGGTTCGAAGTTTTATGTGCCTAGCTTCGCGGATTTGACTTTTACTCCAATGTCTTTTCCCTTGAGTAGTACTAGGTCTCTGACTTTGAATGGGACTTCTCCCTTTTTCTCATCAAAGTACCATTTCATCCGTGAAGCCGAAACTTCCAATGCTGCCTTTGCCTGTTCCTGTGCTTCGGATCAGTGGGCGAATAAATGTTCCAGTGAGGGATGACATATTGATTCATGTACGTCTGGTGCCATTTTTGGATGTCGGCCATATTCGACAAAGAATGGGGAAAGTGCGGTGGACTTATTGGTTAGGTTGTTGTATGAAAATTCTGCTGTTGGCAGGTAATAGACCCAATCATTCTGTTTGTGGTTGCAGTACATGTGTAGATACTGCTCCAACACCTGGTTAACCCTTTCCATCTGACCATCTGTCTGGGGATGATATGCTGTAGACATTGTTGACTTTATACTGAGCCTCTGGCAGAACTCCTGGAATAGTTTGCTCACAAATTGAGTACCTCTGTCTGAGATAATCTGGCGCGACAATCCGTGGAGTTTGAAGACTTCGTTATAGAATATGTTAGCGACTTGCGACGATGTGACTGTATCGTCCATCGCATAGAAGTGCGCTTGTTTCATGAGTCTGTCTACGACGACAAGTATTGCCATCTTCTTTTCTCCCCTAAAGTCCATGGCTGGAGGAAGTTGTGTGATGAGATCCACTGTGACAATCTCCCATGGTCCTCCTGGTACCTCATTTGGTTGTAGTAGTCTGTATGGTTTTTCTCTAGAGTACTTGTTGTGTTGACAACTGTCGCAACCTTGTACATATTGCTTAACCATTACAGACCTTCCTGACCACCAATAGTTCCAAGTAATGAGCTCCAATGTTTTGAACCTGCCTGGGTGTCCGGCTGGTAATGTGTCATGATGGAGCTTTATTAGGTCAAGGCGTAGCTGTTGATCCTTGGGGACATAAACCTTTCCACGATGGAGTAGCAGTCCGTGCTCAAAGTTCCATTCTGCGAGGTTTTTCCCAAATTCACGCTGTCCTGTGGTTAAAAGCGCACGATAATCTTTGGTCATCATGTCATCTGTGAGTGCCTTCTTGATCCTTTCCAGTAGTTGAGCATCATCAACGTCAGATGCGTGAGCGGGTCGAATCACATTGATAGTGAAAAATTCAGGTTTTAACAGCATTTGGTTCAAATTGTCGCTGTCTACCCCCCTCTCATGGTCTGGCCTCCTGGACAGAGGATCGGCATGTAGCATAGTCTTTCCAGGTCAGTGACTAATTATGAAATTGAATCGTGTGATGAATAATGACCAGCACGCTTGGCGCCAGGATAATTTTTGTGCCTGATAGAAGTATGTAAGGTTGAGATGGTCTGACCAAATCTTAATGGGTTCTGGGTGTCCTTCTAAGTAGTGCCGGTATTTTTCTAGTGCCCGAATGATTGCAAGCATCTCTTTATCGTAAATCTCATAATTTCGCTCATGTTCGTTGAGTGATTTAGAGTAATATGCGACTGGATGCCATAGCTTGTCTTCTCTCAATTGTTCGAGTACTGCCCCAGTTGCATAGTCTGAGGAGTCTGTCTCTAGATGGTATGGTGCAGTGTCGTTGGGGAGTTGTAAGATCGGGGCTGAGGTAAACACCATTTTAAGTGCACTGAAGGCTTGGTCTTGCTCTTCCTTCCATTGCCAGGGCATGTCCTTACAGGTGAGAAGCGTTAAAGGTCATGTGAGTTTTGCAAAGTTCTTTATAAATTGCCTGTAGAAAGTCACGAATCCTAAAAAGGCTTGTACTTGTTTGACCTTAGTAGGTGTGGGCCAGCCAAGTACACCTTCGACTTTAGCAGGGTCCATCTGTACCGAGTTCTTGCTGATGATCATGCCAAGATATTTGATTGAGGACTGTTCAAAAAAGCATTTCTCCGGTTTGGCGTATAAGTCATTGTCCCAGAGGTGTTGTAGAACTGCTTTTACTAGTCATCGGTGTTCTTCGAGATCATCCGTAAAGATGAGGATATCATCTAAATAGACTACCACCTTCCCAGTATGAATTAAGTCTTCAAGAACTGTATTCATCATTGTCTGGAAGGTACTGGGAGCATTGCAGAAACTGAAGTACATTACTGTGGGTTCAAAGAGGCCACGGTGCGTGATAAAGGTGGCTTTTTCGTCATCCCCTTCCCTAATCCTTATGTTATTGAACCCCCATCTCAGGTTGAGCTTAGTAAATATACTAGCATGTGAGAGCCTGTCGATGAGGTCCGAAATGCAGGGGATTGGGAACTTGTTCTTCTTTGTTACTGCATTGAGGTTCCTGTAGTCTTGAACTAGCCTCAGTGATCTGTCTTTCTTTTTGACGAAGAAGACGGGTGCTGCTGTTGGACTCCTTGATCTCTTAATGTATCCTTTGGCCAACTCTTGGTCTATCCACGTGTCGAGCGAATTCCTTTCCTGTAGGTTCATAGGATATAGCTTTGCCGGGCATGGTAATGATGCCTCTGGAACAAGTTCGATTGGATGATCGTAGGGCTTTCTTGTGGGCATTCGTTCTGACTGCTTCTTGGAGAACACATCACCATACTTGTGGAAGTGTTTAGGGATATAGGCTGACCAGTAGTCTTTGTCCTGTTCTCCTTTTTGCGGTGTTCTATCCTGATTCCTTTTGGTGTCAAGGCCCATAATGAGTGATGCTATGGCTTGTGCATCAGGGTCTTCTGATAATGACACCCATCTAATGAAGCTGTCCATGTCATTCCAGTTGTCACCCAACTCCTGGGAACTGATGAACTCCATCAGGTCTTCAATGTGGGGGATGTTTGTGTCTTCCAGGTCCTCCTCCTGGACTGCTACCTGTGAGGGTGCACATTTCTGTGAGCATTGGGTGAAATTGACCGTGAGTTTTCTCCAATCTACTTCTGGGTTGTGCTCCTTGAGGAAACTCATGCCTAGTATAATGTCCTTGTGACCTATATCGGTAACCAGAAGACTTTGTCTGCTGGTGTAGTTTCCGATAGTTATACTTAGAAGAACCCTTTTCTTAATGGTTCCACCCTTATTGTGAGATGCGTCTGCATTATAAACCCTGATCTCCTTCTCAAGTGAGATCGTAGCAAGATTCAACTGATCAACCAGCTGCAGGTTGATGTAACAAGAATATGCTCCTGAATCGAGGAGCGCCTCAGTCTGAACTTCCCTTACTCCCTGTTTGAGGTGAACAGGTAAATCGATCACATGTTTTGATGAACCAGTTGATGCAATATAGAGAAAACTCGATACTGGTACATGCGAGAGCGAGTAGGTACTGTTACAATGTCTATGGAAACTCTGGCCAGACATCAGAGAACCTGCCAAAGAAAATCCTCATCATCTTCTACCTCTGTGATCCTAGCTGCTTCGACAGCTGGTTCCAGTTCTGCCTCCTTCTCTTTTCCCTTCGCATCATAGCTGGCGAGGAAGGCGCAGACTGCTTCTTCTCTCATCTTGCTGTCATTGGAGCTGCTGGATGATGCCATTGTTGATATTGCTCTTGTTGCTTGTCCTCATTTTGGCATTTCGAATTTGCCTTTACTGTATGGCAGTGTCATATGTGAACGGGTCGGCCACTCAAGCAATGTCTAACACCTTCAACACAACAGTGACCTGCGCTCAACCTGGTGCTCTCACAGAAACTGTAACATCAGTGACAATGAGCATGACTATGGTCTATCCCACTGTGGTGCCGACGGCTGAGCTTTTTGCCATCGAAGCTATGTAGGCCTCGGAGCCCATTCACTTCGCAGGACTATTCTTCAGATCAGTTTTGATCATAGCAGCATCCATTAATGCTAACCGCTTTTTCCACAGTACTTTCTTTGGAGGACATGAACCGGAGTATGCATCATCAAAGGATCAGTATGCGTGGTTCAAGGACTTTTCCATGACGATCAATCATTGACGGGCCTTCCTTCATGCTTGAGCGGTTATTAGAAAGTTGTTGTATTCATTGCTGTGGGGTAATTAAAACTCCTATACTATTTGATCAACGCTACGCAGAAATCGCCTTGAGCGCTATTCGTAATAGATTGCCTACCTGGCATCTAAATTAAGGTCCCGTTGCCACTCCCCCACTTTCCGCCTCAATTGCTGTTTTCACTTTTTACTTTGCATTTACGTGATGTGTATGCTTTGCCTTCGTTAATAGAACCTGTTGAGTCACTCTGAACATGCTCAGTGCCAAAGCATGGCTTCCTCATCTTCCAAGCTATGCATTGCCTTTGTGCATCCCGACCTTGAAATAGGTGATTAGGTCGTGTGACCATGACTTGACTACTCTGACACCTTCATCACAGGCAGTGCTGAACGCTTGGTTGTGGACACTGCACTCAGCCTGCAGAAGCTAGGGCATGAGGTTGACATTTACACCTCACATCACGATCTGAACCATTGTTTCAACGAGACTCGAGATGGTATGCACGAATCACGTACCGTAGTACAATTCCATGCTCATATTGGCAGAATGCAGGTACCCTACGGGTGCATGGAATCGAACTGCCTTTTCTGCGCTCGTTCAAGGGCAAATTCCACATCCTCTTCTCTCATGCCCGCCAACTGCACCTAACGACCTATCTGCTCCGCCCGTCCTCACCGAAATACGACGTCTACTTCTGTAGACCAATTGTCAACATGTATACCCTTCCTGCATGTGTTCGGTCACACACGAGTTGTGTTTTACTGTCACTTCCCAGATAAGCTCCTCACGGATGGGGCGTACGTGGAGGGCAAAGGCCGGAGGAGTGGGAGCATGCTGAAGAGGATGGATCGGTTCCCGATGGACTGGATGGACTGGCTGGAGGAAGTGACAACAAGACAGGCAGATATTATTCTGGCCAACTTGAAGTTCACCGCACGAGTCTTCCAAAAGCACTTTCCTTCCACTCCATCGATGCCCAAGGTGGTATATTCAGGGATTAACTTGTCAGCATATGAGGCGATGGCATATGATGCCTCGGATCTGGATATCATTCAGGTTGCCTCGTACATCCCCATCACTTCACATGGGTGGCATGTGCTGAGATGTGCCAAAGAGCAGAGGTCGCCCGATGCTGCTATTGTTGAATCGCTTTGAGAAGAAGAAGAACACTGCATTAGCAGTTGATGCATTTGCATTGCGGCATAAAAAGTGAGCTTCAGGCTCATTCCCATCGCAGGAGAGCATGAGGCTGGTTATTGTGGGTGAGCATTTTGCAGTTATTCGCCAAAGTTGTCTGTGATAACAAGGGATGTCAGGTGGATATGATCCAAGATTGGAGGACAATATGATGACCCTCGTCGGGTTGATCGACCGCGCAAAGGCCAACTCACTGACCTTCAACATCGTCATGCCTTCCACATCTCACATCGCCATCCCACCCTTCAATCTAATGCCTTCCTCTCCCGACATCCGCTTCCTCCTCAACTTCATCATAGCCCAACACTCAGCACTGCCAACCTCCCCTGCCACCCTTGCACTCCTCTACACACCAATGAAGGAGCACTTTGGTATCAGGCCTGTGGAGGGCATGGTCTGTGGCTTGCCGATCTCAGCCTGTAATAGTGGAGGGCCTATGGAAAGCGTGATCAACTCACCGCTGGAAGAATGGACAGGCTGGCTGCGCCCTCCAGAGCCCGAAGTGTAGGCAGAGGTGTTAACGGAAATCGTCTGTCTGTCTGAAGCAGAGCGGACGGTGCTCACAGAAAGGGCGCATCGATGCATGAGAGAGAACTTTGGTATGGACACTATGGTGAAGGGACTCGAAGAGGTGTTGAAGGAGGTGGTCGGGATGGGCCCCGTCATGGCATCGTCCTTGCTGCTTGTATGCTGGGCTCTGTTGGCAGTTTTTGCTGCTCTCATTTTGAGTGTGTTTGTCTAGCTGCTATCGTTCTATAGTTTACTTCTGCAATATTATTCTATTGTCATGGATTGGACATTTCACCATTGCGGACACAAATATTCATTGGAGCACCAAATGGATTGACAAAATAGATGAGCATGGACAACAAGCACACACGTGCTCTAGAATAGAATACAGTCACAAGGTTCACAAGGTACCCTTAAGCAAGACTAATACATCGCACAACAACGTTGCAGCCTACAGAAGAGTGTTACATATTTCAACAGGCTTATGAAAGGGTATGAGCTAGTAGAGGTATAAAGAAAAACACAGCATCGAACGCAGATTTGAATCACTCAGCCCCATCTCCAGAATCAGTTTGACTACCATTCTGCGAGGACATCCCAGTAGTGGAGGTCACTCATGAGGTAGCCTGAGACTGCCCCCTTCATCTCGCACATGCATCCGCCTGCCTCTCTCACTCCTCCTGCTCCAAGATCTCCTGCTCAGATGTCAGGTAGTGCCTTCGACACAACAACTCAAACACACACAGCAGCGGCCCGCTGCAGACCTCCTGGACTAACTGCTCATTGATTGCGATCCCACCAAACATCGTATCCTGCCTGAGCCAGTCGAAGTGGAGGAGCATTTGTGGTAGCTGCCTGCTGGGCATGCCCTGCACCGTCGAGTGATTGTGGTAGAATGCATTTGAAATGACACGCTTATGGTCTGCTGATGCGGAGTCGAACTGCCATTGCACGACGTGCCCATTCATGTATGCATGTATGCCTTCGATGACATCCCCACATGTGATGCCGATGGCTTCATCAAACGCAGAAACTTCAATGGGCCATGGGATGTGACAGGATATAAGGTGAAGGGGGGACACGTGTGGCCAGGTCGCAGGTGCGAAGCGGCCATCAGACCAGGAGTGATAGGCAGGGTCAGAGGAGCGCTGGCACTGTGCGGTGGAGAAGAGCATATTCCACTTGATGTAGTTGCACCCCTCTTCATCGGGAGTCGGCATCAGCAGCGGGTTCAGCTGCAACCATGCTTTTACCTTCTTGACCAGAAGCGGAGACAAAACGGGTCCATCTGTGGATTGCAGTGTCAGGTAGATAGTATTGATGAGTTGCTGTTTCACGTACAATGTGAACCCTCTGCAAATTTGTCAAATTCACTTGCATCTTGATGACAAATCAGCGGAGGTGGTGGAGCACTGCCTGTTGGTTGTGGGACCTGGGCTTGAGCAGATATGGAGTGAATCCACCCATTTGTGGTATCATCGGTGTCGGCCACATCCCAGGGTAAATGGGTTAACCTGCAGGCAGCTGCAGCTGAAATGCAGCGTATGCAGCACCGGGCGTGACAAATGGCATTTGCAAATGCGAAGCGAGAGGCATCCCACTCTGTGCATATGGCGACATGGTTGGAAATCCAGTCCAATCTGGAGGAAACCCATTGCTCCCGACAGATGCAACACTGGGACTTTGCTGAGGCAGCAGCACAACGGGTGGCATGAAGTAAGATCCAGGTGTGCCTGTCATGGGGTGTACGCCAACAAAGGGAGGGTTGACGGGCATCTGTTGCGGTTGGGTCCAGGGTGGCATTGCCGAATGGCCATTGGGAGTGTGTGGTGGTGCTGTAGATGGATTTCTAGAAGTTGGACTGGGAACAGTCGGAATGACTGGAGTGTATGGCAGCATTCTTATGGAGGCGATTGTCACAGATTTTTGCCACAAAGTCTGCACGTGACTTTTCTCACACCACAGATCATGTGCTTCACCAATATCTCACACCACTCAGCCACAGATGCGACGTGTAGAGATCAGGTGATAGTCCACATCACATGTTATGGTTCAGACCCGCGGATGATACGGTCGGACCTGTCTATTCCAGGATACAATAGAGGCACCCATTTGGGAACAAAGGAAACAAGGACTATTGTTATGCATCGGCCTTCCGCTTCCTATTAGTTTAGCCAGAAGCCTAGATAGGCACGATGTTCACACCGGAGAACAAAAGGGAAACCAAGATAGGCACGATGAGCACACGCATTACTGCAGCAACCATCGATCTTCCCACTTATTGTTCTACTTCCGGACATCCTATTGTTTCATGTATGGCCATTAGCTTATACCCGTAGATAGGTAGCTTAGGTAAGATAGCCCGCTGTACATGTATATAAGACCAGCCATGTAGAGGACGAAACCTCAGATTGTTTCTCCTCGTCTACTACCTGTAGCACTCACTGAGCTCATAAGCTCCCTCATATATCTCTATCCCTTGCCTGCGTCCGCCACATCAACTAGTAAGTCAACAGGCTCTTGCACCATTTAAGGGATCAGGGGGATCAGGGCGGCACGTTCCACGTGACTGTCCCTTTTTAGTCTTTTTGATCTCTTGTCAGGTGTTACCATGACATTAGAAACAATCTGACATTTTCTGCACCCCTGCTTAGTGTCTAACACAAGCAACTGCATATTTTCAGCGCAAGCAGTTTCAGCCGTAGCGTGCGGCTTTTTTGACACACATTCCAATCTGATCTCTATCTGGCGTGAGCCTCAGCAAGACTCTGAGCTGCCCAAAGCCTCAAAGCGCAAGGCCACCCCCAGGATCGACCTCAACGCCCACTACAAGCATCAGGAAACCAACAAGGAGCATGGAAGACTCCTCACACTCGCATCACTCGGCGCATCGTCCACAGACAGGCAGCGCGCAGCAGCTAGGGTTGTCGATACTATGCACATTATAAAGTGCGGAATCATCCGCAAACCTCACGATCGCACCCCACCGCTCGAACGCTACAAGCCCAGAAAAGGATGTCTTACCACTGGTAGTCACAAGCCGGCACCACCTCCAGAGCTTATCACTTCCAACGCAGTTCCTCCCCCTGTCATTGCTCCCATTCCAACTCATCCCCTACCCAACTTCATAAAGACAAACACCGTCGCACGTCCCATCCGCCCACTCCCTTCCAGAGTCAGGCCGACGATCCACATTGAGACCCTTACGAAGCAGGTAGATGCTACCCACTTCAGGCTCCAACCCATATTAGGAGCATTCTCATATCATCTCAAGGATGAGCACCAAGGACCCATCTTTAGCCTCGCCACAGAGCTCGATAAGGTCTGCACCGGCCTACACACAGGGACGCACACATATACATTCGTCGAGAAGCAGGTTATCAACAAAGTCTGTCTGGAGATAGGAGGAATCAGTTTCAAGCAGATAGGAAAGGAAGAGAGGCTGCAGGAAATCGCCAAGGCTCTGGTCTTTATCTCGAAAGCGAGATATTTGCACTTTTTGTATTAGTTTACCTATATCACAATGGAGTCAGCCGATCGTGCACACGCATCCATGTTTAGGCAATGAATGGATGACATTCTTAATACAAATGTCAAGTCAGCACACAACGGAAGCACCCCACGCACCTCGCAGCGCAATTCACCAGAACCTGCACTAGGACTGCAGGACTCTGCATCACAAGTTGGAGGACCAGCATCCCCGACACCATCACTTGTACCCGCCTACGTTCCATCCATCTGGGAGTTTTACGGACACCAATTCGAGCACCTAGAAGATGCTCTCAGACAGTCCGCTCCCGGAGAAGTCCCAGACCACATATGCGAATGGGTAATCGTCGCAATGAAGCTCACAGCCACTACCGAAATCGCCAAGGTCTACAATGTGCTCGGAAACAAGATGTACGAGCACAAGAAAGCCTTTGAATCGCTAATCCAAAACAACAAAAGTGAACACCGACTTAAGGAGGCAGTTCTCCAGACGGAGATCAGGAAGCTTAAGGATAGGATCCTTGCGCAAGATGCACATATGGCGGTTTTAAATGACGAGCCCACGGGAACCCAGGTGGCAATGCTCGACACAGGCAAAGAAATGATGGAAATCAAGGCAGCTAACGTTAAGCTGCGGCACGAGCTAGCTTCGCTCAAAGCAAGCGGCGTCACTACAATGCAAGGTCAAACATCCGGCATGGTCCAATCACACAAGCCCCACATCAAAATTGCTGAACCTCCACACTACTCGGGCAAAGGAAGTCTGGAGGACTGGCTCCAACAACTCAGTATATGGATGCGGTGGAATGAGATCAACGACGATGAACACAAGATTACCACGGCCCTGCTGCATTTGGAAGGTGGCGCATTCACATACATGTCTGAGTACGCGACCAGAGCAGCAGCACGGCAGGCACTTGGCACATGGGAAGACTTCGTCAACATTCTCAGAGTAAACTACAGGACCCTCGACCCGGACAAGGATGCGCAACAACATTTGAAGGAGATCTGCGCAAAGACCTATCCTACCATGGTCTCCTTCGCAGAACAGTTCCGGCAATGGGCCACTAAGACCAACTTAGGGCACACCGCACTCATCGGTTACATCGCTGAACACCGAAGCAAGGAGGTACGACAGGCAATGGTCACACGAGACAGCCTAGGCATTTCCGACCCAATCACATGGCCGGAATACCTCGACCTCTGCTTACAACTCGAGTCCAAGTTCAGAGCCGACAAGGCAGGCCAATGCGGAACAGTAACAACATCATCATCATCAACACCACGGGCCCCAAAAGACCCCAACGCAATGGTCGTGGATCGAGTATCCACCCTCACCAAGGAGCAAGAAGGATGGCTGGAGAAAAAGCTGTGTGTACGATGTGGGAAACACCCCTTCATTTTCAAACAGTGATGCCCAGACCCCAAGTACAAAGGCAAATTCGAAATGCCAAAGCGGGGCCAAGCAACAAGGGCAATTTCTTCAAACATGGCCTCAGACATCTCCGACGACAGCAAGGTGAGGGAAGAAGCAGTCTGTGCTTTCATCGCCAGCTACGACGCAAAGGGAAAGGAAAAGGAGGCAGAACCGGAACCAGCTGTCGAAGCAGCTAGGATCACGGAGGTAGAAGATGATGAGGATTTTCTTCGGCGGGTTCTCTGAGGTTTGGCCAGAGTTCTCATAGACACTGTAATAGTATCTACTCGCTCTCGCATGTACCAGTATCAAGTTTGTTATACATCGCATTTACTGGTTCGTCAAAACACACGATCGATTTACCTGTTCACCTCAAACAGGGAGTAAGGGAAGTCCAGACTGAGGCGCTCCTCAATTCAGGAGCATATTCTTGCTACATCAACCCACGGCTGGTTGATCAGTTGAATCTCGCTACGATCTCACTCGAGAAAGAGATCAGGGTTTACAATGCAGACGCATCTCACAACAAGGGTGGAACCATTAAGAAAAGGGTTCTTCTAAGTATAACCATCGGAAACCACACAAGCAGGCAAAGCCTTTTGGTCACCGATATAGGACATAAAGATGTTATACTAGGCATGAGTTTCCTCAAGGAGCATAATCCCGAAGTGGATTGGGAAAACTCACAGTCAATTTCACCCGGTGCCCACAAAGATGCACACCCTCACAGGTAGCAATCCAGGAGGAGGACCTGGAAGACACAAACATCCTCCACATCGAAGACCTAATGGAGTTCGTCAGTTCCCAGGAGTTGGGTGACAACTGGAATGACATGGACAGCTTCATTAGATGGGTGTCACTATCAGAAGACCCTGATGCACAGGCCATAGCATCACTCATTATGGGTCTTGACACCAAGAGGAATCAGGATAGAGCACCGCAAAAAGGAGAACAGGACAAAGACTACTGGTCAGCCTATGTCCCCAAACACTTCCACGAGTATGGCGATGTGTTCTCCAAGAAGCAGTCGGAACAAATGCCCACAAGAAAGCCCTACGATCATCCAATCGAACTTGTTCCAGAAGCATCGTTACCACACCCGGCAAAGTTATATCCTATGAACCTACAGGAAAGGAATTCGCTCGACACGTGGATAGACCAAGAGTTGGCCAAAGGTTACATCAAGAGATCAAGGAGTCCAACCGCAGCACCCGTTTTCTTCATCAAAAAGAAAGACAGATCACTGAGGCTCATACAAGATTACAGGAACCTCAACGCAGTCACAAAGAAGAACAAGTTCCCAATCCCACGCATTTCGGACCTCATCGACAGACTCTCACATGCTAGTATATTTACGAAGCTTGATCTGAGATGGGGGTTCAACAACATAAGGATTAGGGAAGGAGACGAAGAGAAAGCCACCTTCATCACACATCGTGGCCTCTTTGAACCCACCGTAATGTACTTCGGTTTCT